AGTCCTTATATTGGTCTTATCACTGTACTATCTGAGTACATGTCTGAATTGTGTTCCATTCTTGTCCTGTTCCCTCAAAAGAAATGATCTGTGCTGTAGTGTTTTGTTTGGGGAAGGATTTGTTTATCTCAGATTTGTGTTATCTTGGAAAAAGGTGTTTGTACTTTCAGGTTCTGCACTTACATTGGAAACTATAGAGATCTGTCATTCCACAGATTAGGTCTGGACTCCAAGGATTATGAGCCTCTGCTCTCCCCAGGATTACAGGAGGGAGTGTTTATGGTCACAGCCTTTGCTTTCAAGTTTATGTCCCAAGCATTAATCTAATGGCCAACTTTTAGAATTGCCTTCAACATTGCACGTAACTTATTCTCATCCCCCTCATCTAATTTTTTTAAGAGCAGGAAATAAATCTCACCAAAACACCCTGTGGTGTTTTTTGTCCACCTATGGACACAAATATAGCCAACTTCATACATCATCAAATACTTCTCTATGGGCAGAGACTCCTTTCTTTTGAAAAGGTTATAAAACCAACTTGAGCCTGAATGCAGGCTGAAGGTTTCACAGGGAGTCCTTCCTCTTGAGCAGCAGGCAGAGAGCTGTTTCCACCTTCCTGACCATATTATTCCATGTATTAACACCTCCAACATCACCCCCTTCTCTCCTGGTGTGATCTGCCCATTATACACAGACTAGAAGTGGGTCAAGGACACATTGAAGAATTATAAGTACAATCAATGTTTGAGTCAAAAACCCAGAGTACTACTGCATAAAGAAGTCATTTGGCACAGTAAGTTACAGTCAATATATAAACAAATAAATAAAGTGCCTAAGTAGGTAGCAGAATTTCATGATTTAGTGCAGACAGGCCATGAGCAGAGGGTGAATTTCTAATTAAGACAGAATTGCTATGGTAACCAGAGGTGGTCACAGATAATTGGGTGTGAAACCCCACGAGGCTTCATGACAGAGGTGTCTGCATATATTATCCAGCACAGTTTCTGTTTCTTAAATAGAATTACATTGTCAGGTCAGACAATATTTTTCATATTTTATGTGCCTTCTTTCTGAGCAACCAAAAGTGACACTCGTAAGAGGTCTCTGTTCTTTAAATGTTACCAGAACAGTGGACGTGCAAAGACAAACTTGAAGTGAGGATTCTCAGCCCTTACTTATTCTCAGTTGTGGGTCAAGAACAGAGACAGATGTTTCCTAACCCGACTGAATGGGACAGAGAAGGAAGATAATTCCCTGTGCTGGTGAGGCAGAGCAATCAGGGACAAAGGTAACAGTGCTCCTCCAAATGGGACTGTGCACACTGCCCAGCTCCAGGACAGCACTGACTTGATACTATATTGTCTTAGTTAAAACAGGTACCGTTTAAAGTTGGTATTTCTTTTATCACAATTCGTGGGAGAGAGCAAAGGGATAATCTCAGAGACTGAGTTAATCTGTTATTGGAGCAGAGGGGATGCATAACACACACTACATCATCACAGTTACACCTGCAGTAGCAACCAACTGGGATTAAAAACATACTTAAATTTATGAAAATTATTTACCAATTTAAGCACCTCCTATTAGAGTTTTGAGTGTTATCTTAACTAATTAGATATTCATTATCTATGTAATGAATCATATATTAGCTGTTTAATGAATCCTAATGAAGATTAAAGGAAAATCTCATTATTTCAAATTGTTGTTCTGGCACAAGATTTCTAAGATTTGTATTAAAATCCTTCCTTGAACACATGGATACGAATGAAAGGTCAGATCTTTGCTTTGCAAATCCCCATTTCTCTGCACCAGCTGCACTTAAAGGGCACACAGCTACTTCAGTGCATGCAATATTCCTCTAATTTGGAGGAACCTTTTGAAGTCTTAGGGTGGATTCAGAAATCGGGAGGATAAATAGATCAACTCCTGCAGACTTCCACTACTACTGCAACTGAGAGAGGCTTTGAAACGCAATTCTGTTGACACTTTCTTCAGGATCTTAAATTGCCCTTTTTCAATTTACCTTATATTGGTGGCAGTTCTCAAGGTGCATCGCATTTGACAGTCAATTAACAAGGTCCGACAACACATTTTCATGTCCCTGTTACCTATAAAACAAGAACAGAGCTGTTCTGCATCTTTAAACAAGGCAGTGGGCTGGCACTGTCTCTGTGCACACCTGCAGAGGCTGCTCACCCTCTCTAAGGTGCTCTGTGTGAAGGCAGGGGGGCATCAGGGCCCTGGGGGGGCACATCACAGGCAGCCACTCCAGCCGTGTTCTGCTGTTCCTGCACACCCAGACTGCCCAGGAATTACATCTCAGCAGGAGTTCTGCATGCAGCAGCCTGGTCAAAGAAATTTTCAGTCCCCAAGGAAAAGCAGAACCCCATAGTTTACCTCTGTCATGCAGGGAGGAGAACCCTGCCTGTGCTGATCAAGTCCAGCAGTTGATAGCAGATGTTATTTGTTAATTACTGATGTATCCAAAGGGTGCTGTGGCTTGACAGACTCCATAACAGATACATTACCCACTTTGTTGTATCTCATCATGGAACATATGGTGGCAGTTTGATGTAGTACAATTTTAAACATTTTTTTAATGTATTCCTACGTTGAATTTCTCACTCACTTTTTCTGTTGTTTCTTGCTGGGTCAGAATGCGTACTTTCTTTTATTTTCTTTTTTACTAGTATCCAATTACCCTCTGTTTTCCAATACAGTAGAACTGCTCAGAGGTACTGATGTATCTTATCTGCCAATTCACACTTTTTTTCCACCTTTAAAAAATGTCAACCAGATGGTTTCCAAAAATGCCAATAATATCTAATATATTGTTTGAAATTAAAGTATCACTGCAAAATGCCTCTCATCTGATTAACTGCTTGAAGCCATATGTATCACTTTGGATGCACAAAGAACCGTGTGTTCCATCACTGTATTAAACAAAAGCCTACTGAGAATCCGAGCTCCTTCAAGATAAATCTGAGGGAAGCTCAGTTCTGTGCTACAAAGTATTAGTGTGTATCTAAAGCTCAGATCTGAAAAGCAGATCCTTCAAACTGTTCAGCAGCTCAAATACCACCGCATAAAGGACATTTTTTTTGTATTTAATCTCACAATTAAGAAATAGACTTGCTTATGTACATCAATGGAGACAAAGTATATCTTTCTAACGACAGATGGCTCAGGTGTTATCTGCTTTGACTTAGCTAAAATGTTACTTAACTATATTAAATGACATTTCATTTCCTACCTCTCTGTAAGCCCACATTCCCACTTTGGAAGGGAGCTGGGGATCTCCACTGCTGAACATTTTCTTAGGAACAGCCTGGCCAGCAGGAGCAGGGCAGTCACAGTCCCCATGGACTCGGCACTGGAGAGGCCACACCTCGAGTCCTGTGTCCTGTTTTGGGCTCTCACTAAACAATTCGATGATGCCATATAAAATTGGGAACGTTAATGATCAGAATTTAATTTCCTACCAGAAACTGAGAAGTAGAAACTGTCACTGAAATTGAGACATGTGCAAATGACTTAATCCATGAATGAATTAGCACTTGATTAAAAAAACAGGGAATAAAGTGAAGAAAAAGCAAAATAATTACAAAAATTAGGTATTTTAAAATTATTATTAACCTGATTAAATCTTTTCTTGCTACATTTGCTTAACCTGTAAATATTTTTCACAGAGTGAAGCTATAGAATATGAGTGTGAAATTTATTTTAAAATAGCAATAATTCCCAAAGAAAGGCCTTGTATTTGACAGCTCTGGCAGATGTTAGTTGGAATCGTTAAAAAGAGGCTTATGTCATGCAAAGTTGATGACATAGAACTCACAGCGAGTAAAGTGAACCCTTTATGTACCTCATCTGTTTTTGAACAACACGTAGCACCAGGAATAAAAAAAAATTATGAAAGTATTCTTAGTAGGAAGATCAAGTAGTTAAAGTCAGAGCTGTAGCACTATGCAAGGATGAATTTGCCATACACAGGAATTCTAGAAAACTGGGGAAGGGCAGGTCTTAGGGATCCAACAGAGACTCCAAAAATATCACAAGCTCAAAGCAAGAAGGTGTAAAGAGCAAATGTCCAAGGACACAAAGAGCCTGTGATGCTGCACACAGAGTGGGCAAGCACAGGGCACTGCAGGCCTGGCATTTGGAACAAAGAGCAAGAAGGGCAGAGGCTCACCCAGAGCACAACAGTTTGCTCAGCAGAAAGATCTAAAGGTGCAATTAATGAGGGGCCTACCTGAATGAAACAATTACAAGCTGCAGATGAGTAGGGATATAAGTCTTTCCAAATAAAGACATATTATTCAGCAATGACAAATGCAGTGTACTGGATAAGGTGCATGCACTTGCTGAGCAACTTTAAAATATTAGGGAATCAAGAAATGTTGAAAATGGCATGGATACTGTTGAATTGGAAATAAAGTTATCAACATGGTACTTAGAAACCTCACATAATAAAAGCCTGCTGTTACAATGCTGGGTGAAAAATGGCAGGAAAAATTCAGAAAATAAGCATGACAAACACACACATGCCACACGTCGTTTTCTGGAACAAAATCAAGCATGACTTGCAATATATCAAAATGTCAGGTATGTATTTTAATTTGGGGAACACAATAAGTTCACTCACAATACTTAAAGGTCATTCAGAAAGACTGGAGTGCAGTAGCAAAAATCTTACCTTAAACACTATCTTAAAAATATCTTTGCTCTTTCTTCTAGCAGATCGTTGTACAAAGATTTTTCCTTATTTCCTTAAAATTTCGAGGGTGGGGGAAAAAGCAGTAAATCCTGCAGAGGTCTTTTCTGAAAAGAAAACCTTTAAACCCATGTAGAAATGTCAAGTTGTTACAACTCCCCAAATTCAACATGACTATTTGTGGTATAGAAACACATTGAAAAAAATGAACACAAATCAAAGAAGTAAATACAAAACAGCTGAATAGAACAAACAAGGTGTAAACAAACTCCACTTCAAACAAAAAATGATGTTATTTTTTATTTTCTTCTTGGTAAAGTAGCATATTTTAACCAGATTACAATAAAATTACCACAGGATATTTAATAATAATAAAAAAAAAACCAAGAAAGTATTTAGAAAATTTTATATATACACATTTGCTTAAAAATTCTATAATGTAAACATTAGCATAACGAGTTAAAATAATATTACAGTTTATTAATACTTATGTGAATACTGTACATACATATGCTTAAGAATTAATACTATATTTTCTACAGTTTAACAGGAAGAACAAAAAAATTCCCTCTCCAAGTGAAAAGGGAAATCCAGCTTCTTCAGTTGCCAACAGGTTTTGTCCCAAACATAAGACACTTATTTATCTCAGTGGCAAGTGAGAAAGAAAGCACAGCCTTTCAGAACTGTATTTTCAACCACACTTACAGTTTGATAATTTTTAGTGTCTTAAATGATTAATAAGAAAACCACTCATCACAGTTTAACTACTGCCATGGCATGGAGATAATTTCTGAAATCTTGTTAAAGGAACTGATTCCCCTACGTGGAAGTGCAATAAACTTGTTTTGATGCAATAAAAAACAATGTTGGGATTTTTTAAGTCCAGATGTTTGCAGAAATTTGTAAATCTGGAACATTCATTCCTCTCTAAACATTTCAGTGCTGTTGTCCAGTATAAATTCATGCCATTATTATTGTTTAGAAGTATGCTCTGATTATTTTTGTTAAAGAAATTTTATAAATAATCTAAGTTCTCTATAACTGGACCATAAAAGCACAGTTAGTGCAGAATAAGTAATAAATTCAATGTACAGTGTCAGACCACTGTGTAGAACAAGTGTTTTATCTTCCATTCAATATGTGAAACATGAAGCAGGTTAACTGGTATTTTTAAACATATTCTATATTTCATATAGATAATTTCATACAGTGAAGTGTTTCTTTGCATACAAAATGCTAAGAAACTACTGAAATGACAAAATCATCATCAAGTGAATATTCCATGTGGAGCAGGGTGCTGACTCAAACACCCTCACCTATAGAAAGTGGAGAGAAATTCTTTCCTTCCTTGAGCTGTTAAATCACTTTTCTAGAAGTGACTCAAGATCCAACACAGAAGTATTATTATTGTTTCCAAGGAGAAAGTTGTATTCTCATGTTAAATAGGTTTCTTTCCCTATATCCTAGAGTTCCAGCTGGAAGAGCCCAGTGCTGTTCCCAAGATTTGCAAGGGTGTAGAGCAGCACAATTTGGTCAAGAAGTACTTTTTTTCTTTCTTTTAACCAGCTGTTCCACAGGTTTCTCACTGTAATTTCAAGCAAGTAACTGTATTTCTATCCACAGGTATATATTATCTGTGCCCAGAATTCCGAGGCATTAGATGAAAAATGTTTTGGAGTGGCAGGGTGAACCTTGGGAACAGCATGGAACTTGGAGCAGCACTGAGATCCCTGCTTTCTCTGGAGGAAAAGGAATGACATCCATATGTGAAAGCACCAATAACTGATTCTGGTAACAAAAGATCATATTCTTAACCCATTAATACATCCTGACAGAAGCATCATTAGTTCACTGGGGGTTCACCAAGTCTCATTTATTATTAGCTGGCTGCTCTGAGTCAGTCAACCCCATTTGTTAGTAGGTTCTTATTAATTAATTTGACAGCTACCATGCAGATATTGCTCTATATAATAAAACATGACTTTGTAACAAAAAAAAATAAAAAGCACCTTAGCAATAGGTCAGAATTTTGAGCCAGTAATCTTTATTACCATTATGTTCTTTCTCTAAATACTTGTATTAATCCAATCTCAATGGTTTATGACTTGCAGTAAATTCTGCAAGGTATTATAATTTGATTACAACTATCACATCAACAATATATTCCATAAAAAAGACTGGCTTTGAAATTATTATCTTCCTAAGAATATATGACTTAATGGACATATCAATTTAAGCCTTTATAACTATGCCAATATCCTGCCTCATATAAACCTTGGAAATTTATTATTATTATTATTATTGAGAACTTTGATTTAATTTGCAAAAGCCAAGCCGACAGAATGCTATAATGAATGACAGAATCTCTAAATAAATGAGATTCTGAAAAACCACACTCAGTCTGTGATGAATACTGATAGACACATCTGCAAAAGCTGGAAGAGCTTTGCCTGCTCTGTCTTTCTCAGGAAAATGTTCATTTTCCATGTGACTGGACAACAGCATTACAGTAAAAGTTGTGCCACTTTTTTACAGTTTATTTTCAATAGTCACTGATGAGAAGCCCTGGAGACCTAATACATCTAAAGATGAAGTAGGAATGAAATGCAAATACCACAAATTCCTCTCCACTGCCTCGTGCCAGGCCACAGCCCAGGGCCCAGACTGTGTCCTGGGATTACAGCACCAACAGGAATGGTCCAACCCATCAACTCACTGAGCACATACAGGGGTTTCAGAGCTCTGAGCCAGTGCCAAAGGAAGTTGGACCTGGACAAAAATTGTAACCATGAGCATGAAATTAGGTGACACAGGATAAACTGATCAAATCATTCAAGTGATGGAATAATTGTTACACTTACAGATATTTTATTAGAATAACAGAAGTCCTTGGCATTCTTAATCCCAGCTGGTCAACCTTCTTAACAGACTTTGCTGATTCTGGTGAATTATCAGAAGTGGGATTTGCAAGAGATTCTAAGAGCATGTTAGAATGTCTTGAGGTGCTAAAAATTTGGGCATTCCTGTCACTAGGCACCTACTTGCAGTCGTACAGGGACCTCACTGATCTTCAAAATAACCAGGGCTCTGAAGTGGGAAAGCTACCTTGTGAAGAAAGGCTTTCATTTGATTATTTTCTGGGATTTTAGAGAAACCACAGCTGAGCTTTTAAATGGATTAGTAATGCCCCCATCACAGTATCTTGTATCACCAAGTGAACATTGTTTGCAGACTGTAATCTTGGGAGCTGATACACAGTTCAGCCACAGTTAACAAAGAGCAATTTGTACATGGTAAACAAGTTCAGTATTTTTATGTGATCTACATACATACATTAAAAATTACAAGAAGCAAGACAATCAGGGATGAAATAATTTTAAGAGCCAAATGCAGATACAAACAATTCCTTTCAAACAACTAAAAAAAATTCAGTCTGTGCTAAATGAGATTTCTTATCATTTTCAGCTTTCTGAATAAGAAGTATTTGAATCTAAGAATTACTTCCTGAAAATTAATATATCTCCATGTGACAGATACATCACAAAGGTTACCACACAGTGTTTTCTTTCAGATTTACTTGCAATTCAGTGTTAATAGATGTATGCCGTGTTTCTATTAACCAAGTCTACACTTTCTGAAAAATAGAATTGTTTCAAAGTGAGATCATCATTAAAGCTGCTTCTCTTTCCAACAAACTAAACCAGCAGCAGTGCATCAGACTAAAGAGTTTGGAGAAGCTACTTAACTGACAAACTACTCACTTTGCCTTCTTCTCAAATAAGTGTCCCACTGTAACTTACACAAAACACCAACAGTAATTCATCTGTTAATGAAAACAAACCCACTTGTTCTCAGGCTGCCCTTTGGGCTTTGTTATTTATCTATTTTGGGACTCTCACTGACTGAAAAATCTTGTTTCATTTCTGTGACATGATTTTACTTTGTGGTATTTCACCTCCGGAAATTTCTGACCTGAGGGGTGAATTCCACTCCTCTCTGCCACGGTTTGCTGTCCAGTGCAATCTGAGAGCTACATATTTCAGTGGTAGGAAGCCAGCACTTGGGGTCGTACTCAGGCACTGATGCTCCTCACTGTGTGCAACAAACCCCCACTCACCCAGGAAGTGCCACCAAAAATGACTGGACCACTCACCTGCCTGAACAACACACAGTGGTCACAGGTTTGCAGAACACAAGTTCCAGTTTGCTAGAACTTTAGTAAACCAGTGAGGTAAAAAAAAAGTGTTATTAATCATCAGCTTGGTTTTTTTTTCTGGAGAATGATATAAGGTTTTAGTATCTACTGACGTTGAGAATCTAATATAATGAATGGATAATAAAATGACAAGATACATCAATTTAAGTAACATTATCCAAAAAAACTTCTGAGAAGAAAGATATTCTTACACAAAGGAAAACCAGAATACAATTAATGGAAAATTTGAACGTATACTGCTTAAACTTAATGAAGAGAAGAAGATAGCTAAAACATAATTAACTGCCTACGGCAGTGCAACTAATGGATACTGAACTGGATTCCAGTTAATCCATGTCAGGACTTCCATCACTTGTAATAATTCTTGTCAATATTTTAGTCACTCTTACAGTAGTAGCATTACAAATTACTTTTCAATAAGAGGTGATGGGTAACAGGCACTTTCATTACAGGCAATTTTTAAGTATCACTATGTGAAGGGTTTTACAAAATCAGATTAATGATGGACTATTCTGTAACATCAGCAACAAACTGATAACAAAATATAACCCAAGACTTGAAAGCACTATTTTGCACCATGCTAATTTTGTGTATCCTTGCAGTGGTTTGTAAAAATTAATAATATTGCATCTGCCTTCCAGCAGGACTGAAATTTTACTAAAAAATTATTACATTCTCTGATTTTAAAGAATACTTCCCACAAATGAAAGCTATTGAGAATATCTAACTAGAAATGTACAAAAGCTATTTTTCCACCTGTAATGTTTTTCTCATCATCTACATTGTCAAGTTTTTTTAAAAACCTTTGCGTGTCAGAGGTTTACAATAAAAAAAAACCCAAAACAACCCAGTCCTTCTATTTACAAAAGGTAATAAATTAGTGAGGTTCTTTTAAGCACATCCTTCTGACATATTAAGTAGTGATAATCAAAACCATTCTCCTAAGGAAAAAAAAAATTGTCTTGACACGATACCCATGTCTCTCTGGAACAGAAAAATGTACATGTTAAAAGGGAGACAACATAATACAAACAAGGAATTCATTGTAAAAGAAGGACTTCAGGGGAACAAAGGAGAATATGTGCAGTGCAGCTTTACAAAACAAAGAAAATGCCATCAGTTTGCTGAGCTCTGGTGAAGAGCCCTCATATTCTTTTGAGAAAGTGATTACTGCCTTCCAAAGTAGTTAATCAGGATATGACCCTTGGCAATGAATGTCTCTTTTCAGGATTTAAGTTGATGCAGCTGTAGTCTCTTCAGGAGCTTAAATTATAAATATAGGCTAGGAAGGAATCACAGAACAACTTAAAGTACGTGGTGCCCGTGTTCACAATCAGGAAAAAGGGTCAGAGATCCCCACTCTGGGGTTCCAGGCTCCGGGGCTCCCTTTGGTGGCTGCGGGACAGTTTGGGGAAGCGCGGGGTCACCCTCGAGCGACTGCCTTTGCTCACTGGCTCTCCAGAAGGTGGAATATCACTAGGGAGACAAAACATAAAGACACAAGTAGCTAATTTACGTTACATGTAAATTATTCTGTGGTTATTTCCAACATGAAAAAAGCAGATGTTATGAGAGCCTGGCACATGACCGCAGTACAGCACACATCTCCAACATCACGGAATTGCATTCTTTCTACTGCTATCTCAAGTGTGAATCACAAAATGGGCTCTTTCAGAAATGAGAACTAGTAGAACTTCCAATACTTCATGGAAGATTGCAAATTACAGGATAAAAGCGTATCTCCATGAGCTGCAGTTCAGAAATGGCGGGAAAAGCATTTTGAAGTGATAAAAGTACAAGCAAAATAGACAAGAGCTTGGATGATGCTCAATTAACAATCCTCTAATTATGGATGGATGTATCATTACATGATGAAGTACATTAGTAATACATCCCTGTTGGGAATTCTTCAGTCTCTTCTGACCCACAACAGACTACAGTCTTACATGAATGAGCCTTTTGGAAAAGACTCAGAGAAGAACATCAACTTCAAAAACAAGCAGTAACAGAAAATTCCAGCTTACCTAGGTGACATTCAGGCTATAGACTCCTCGGAAAACTACAGTATAAAGGGATAGCATTGTACTTTTGCCATTCTTTTAGAAGTCTCCACATGGTTTTTAATTAAACTGCTTACATACAGATCAATAAATAAAACTGGTTTGCATTTAGCAACTCAGCTAGGCAATCAAATCACACAGCACAAAAAGCCAAGCTTATTTTTACAAGTTAAAAACCCCAACCTTATAATACCTATCCTCAAAACATGGTAAAAAGTCCACAGGGGAGGAATTGCTCATCTGCAGATGAGCAATATATAATATATATATAATATATAAAATATAGAGATATATTTTAAAACAATCCCTGAATTTCTCTGTGCAGTTCCCTTTTTCCTGCAGTGACCTTCCTGACACCCAGGTCAGACAGCCCTGCCAAAGCCACAGGCACACTCAGGCTCTACTGAGGTGTTCTGAGGACCCACGTGGGAGAGATGGTACCAAAGCAAAAGCCTTTAAAAAGTCCTGGGACCGAGCGGAAAATTCACTTGCAGGTAGCAGAGCACTTCTGCAGGAAAGGGCAGCTGCCTCACTGGTAGCCATCACCTTTGTAACTACAGTGCACACAAACTGGCTGTTCCCATAGAAATCAGAGGGAAAAAACACTGTGGAAAAATTATGTTCAATTCAGATGCTAAACGTTAACAGAAAAAAAAGTGTTAAGTCCTTTTAATGGAAGCGCATTATTTAACTTGTCTAAATTTCTAAGCAGAAAACTCTAAAAGAGTCTCAGCTAAAATAATAAATGATTTTCCTACCTCAAGATTCATCACATTCCTATTATAGTATTTAGTCTTTCAAGGTAACCAAGAACCTTTATGTGAAAAAATGCATAAAATACCTGTGGTACACATCCATCTCTTCTTCAGTAACAAAATTAACAAGTTATATCTTTAATTCCTTATTTTTCTTGTCACTAAAATAAAAAGCCTAAAAATTAATTTAGCATATGTTATTAATTCTTGGTACCCAAGGATAATCAGACTTACAACTGTGGCCCCATGATTTCTTATTTTGAAACTCAGCAATGTTATCTAAGTTGCTGTAGAGAATTCTGATCATGTGAATCCAATTTCAGCTGGGCTCATTAGCATGGATTTCTTTTAGTAACATGAATATTATAACTCATAATTTTTATACTATTTATAAAATTGAGCAATGCAGTGTTGATACTCTTAATGCTTGTAAAACAGAGCATGGGATATTGGCTTCAGGGAGTTGTGCTTTCGTGTTAAGATACGTATTTTTCAGAACATGTAAACATAAAATAACCTAAATATCAATTATACAATGGAATAAAATCAAATAAAATTAAATTTTCACCTCATTGAGCTTTGCTCAATCTAAAATAGGTTCATTAGCTCTATGAGCAGACAGACAAATTTACAGGTACATGGTAGTTTGCACTGCAGAAGAGAGCACAGAGTTGTATGCAATTACTATAATTTGGTGATTGCTTTATTGAAAGCACATTTTAATCCACAAGCTCCTCCTGCTGGCATGTCCTCAAAACGACATTAGTGCCAGCCCATGGGGAGCAATGCCATCCAAAGGAAAAAGGGCAAAAGGGGCAAGAGGAATCCCTCTAAAATGAAGAGATATGAATTAATATCAGTGTGCCCTGACAGGCATGGCTGAGGTAACCAGATCATTCAGGATAATTCCATGAACAGCAGCATCTGGGAACGAAGGACAGACATTGCAAGTAATTCTGCTAATTTAAATGATGCTACTCCAGAACAAGATATAACTAAATTAGAGATAATTTGTCTTAAATGTCTTAGCTAATTTTTATAATGACAATCCAAATTCTAAGACAAATCATTACGTTATGTAGGTTTACAAAAAGCAACATATATCTGAGGAATCAGGTCTTCATGCATCCAGCATGAAAAAGCAAACTGAAGCTGAAATTGAATTCCTCAACTTCCACAGACCAGATGTTCTATGGGGGAAAAAGTTTAAAGTATTAAAAAAGAGTCATAAATTTAAAAGTATATATCTTTTAGTCCCTTTCCATCTGCCCTTTTCCAAAACCTGATGAGGAAACCAGCCATCTCACTTTGGTTTCAGCTCCAGTTTTCTTACCAAAATGACCACCCAGTCCCAGAACACATGGTAATCAAGTAGGAGGAAAAGATTCATCTCCCATCTCTTGTCTCCTGTTACTAGATTTAATAATTTAGTTTGGCCTCGAGGTCAAATGATACCTATAAAGTCTCTGGCACTAAAAAAGACACCTTCCTAAATGACATGACAGTTCAACAGGTCAGACAGGCCATGAACTCTTGGGCAGAGGTATGAAGACCTTAAAATGATCCTGTCAGTATTTCTGGCAAGTGCACATAAAGATGAAATTCAGACATATCTATTTTGGCCACCCTGTGTTTAGGAGGGAGGAATAAGCCACACCTACGTGCACGGTTTGCAAACCCTCTCATTTGTCTCATTTAGTAGAAAGTCTCTAGGCTAATTTGGGGGGCTGAGTTAGGGTTCACCTATAGCTGATTGTTTTACTCAGATTAAAATACAAATTTAAAAGACATAGACCTAAACCAGGGAGTAGCTGTGCTACAGTAACTCTTCCAAGTTCCTGCAGTCAGCACTGACTCTTCAACCTACACCTGTCCCAGTTACACCTGTTTGGTTTTAATACACCATTATCCTTTTGCCTTCTGAGCCACTGAAAACTAAATAGGGTTTAATTTCTAGGCCGAGTCTGGCAGGCAGGCAGAGGTTTGCCAGGCCTTTCCCTGTTCAGCAGCGGAATGTCTGTGTATTAAAGGCTCAAGTTCTTTTCTACATTCTCTCCTTGTCCCATTCTGAAGAAAAGCAGCAGCCTGCTGAGGCAATCAATTCCTCCTTCCCACCAGGCCATTGTTTAGCTTTCAAGCATTCCTGATTGATCTGCCCAGCGTTTGTTTGGCAAACGATTCAGTTGCATTGATTTTGTCTTGGTGTCAAGTTCTGCCTGAGGTGCATCTATAGAAAATAGCTTAAAATAACCGGTCCTTTTCATCAGCTGCTGGTTTATTCATACCTTTGATTTATTGCTCTCCCTGTATCCAAATGTAAACTGCATTTTGTGGGTTTCTCTTTCCATACTCAGCATATGGAACTGCAGTATTGTCTTGGCTGATGCTGTGAACATTTACACGAGGAAATTTATTTCCCATCCCATTGCCTCTGCTTCAGACAAAATTAGAGAAGTTTCTATAAAAACAGTGTAACATGTCTGCAATTGGAAATACTTTTGTATCAGCCAGAGATCAGAAGCAATAAGCACACCTTGGGAGTGCAGGAAAGCACAGGATCAGGTGCACATATCTATCTCCAGCTCTGTCTCACATGTAAATGCATCTCTGGAGATATTCATAATTCTAGTTCTGCTTGAGTTGTATTAAACACACATCATGAAAAAAAGGCATTCACTGGCAGATGAATTCAGTGATTTTTGCCAGCTCCTTGTGTTACTCATTCTTTGTTAGTCATTATAATAATCTAATTTCTGGTTATAACCCCAATATTAATGTTGTAAATTGGACTCAGGCAGGCAACCTCCTCAGAAAGGTAGTATTAAACAACGTCTAGACTACATTAGGATATCCTTATTAGACAATTGAGAACTAATTCTGACTTGCCAATACAGCATAAAATCAGATAAAACACCTGTCTAGTGGCATTATTAACTAAAATTCTGAATTCATCAAACCATTTCACATAATGGAGTAACTCATGCTTTGCAGTCAACTGGGTAAAATACTTTCTTCCAGTTGTTGAAGTGTAAAAATAATTGGAGCCACATTCCTGCCACTGTTCCCAAACTGATCACAGAAACTGTGATCTCCCTTCATTAATAAAAATGGCTGAGTTGGGATGTTTAAATAGTCATTTATTAACAGAAGAGATAGAGAGAAAAGGGTAAAATAATCCCTCTATAGTACACTTCAACACTGAAAATCCCAAAGACACTGTTAAAGCAAAGTTGTCAGGTTACAAACTGAACAATCCTTTCCCATCAAGATAAGATCTGAAATGAAATTTCAAAAAATGAAAAGCATTAATTCTAATATTCTGTCCAACCATTTGGTTAATGTACTCCTTCTACTTCCACTACACACTTCTACAGTGCAACACAGTACTCATGAAGTATTTGATCTCTTCTTGCTGTGAAATAATGGCACAAAATCGTGCTGCCATTTGTTACAATTCAAATTACCCTGACTTGAACATTCACATGCTATAATTCAGTTTCCATACCAGCATAAAGACTTTCTTCATCAACATTTGCATTGATATTTGAATTTTTCTGTAAACCAAGGCGCTGTACCTAACTGTAATGATAGGATCTTTTTTTACTTCTGCTAACTTTATTTTGAAGTTGGCATAACAAGATGGTTACTGTATCCATCAGTT